CTTTGTGAATTGTCTTTACATATTTTAGTTTCTGTGTTAATGTAAAAATATGCAAGTAATATGAAGAGAGAATATTCATTTTTTTTTGTTTTTTTTTGGTAGTATTTTTGTGAAATCCTCCTGTTAAATTATTTTTTTTGCCATCGATTGTTAATTATAATGATGGCAACTGTTGCACATTTGTATTAAAGTTGTCATTATATCAAGTTCACCTGGTGCAGGAGAACCACTGAAATTAAATCTTCATTGACATCACATTTGGAACGGATGTTTTTTGCTATGACTTTTAGATTATGTTGTAGTCATAGTACTATCATTAGGGTGAACTAGGCACATATTACGTCAGTGCATTTTTTTTTTATATCAGAACACATTCTATCGCTTATGTATGAGCACAATTCTATCTATTGAAACTGCAATTTATTTACAAATAGTTTCAAAAGCTAAAATATTATTTATATAATTGATTTGGCCATGCATTAATATTTCACTTACAGTGTTTGAAATTTGTCAAATTTTATCGCACAGGGCAGGAAACTTTACCAGCCATGTTAATGTTTTCAATATTTTATTCATTTTACAGTGACTTTCATTTAATTTTCATAATCTTAGAGAGCATCTACATCAGTTAATGATGAATTGAAGCATTTGTCTCCACATTTTCTAAATACAGTGTAAAGCACCAATCAGAACTATATGTCAACTACAGCTCTGAAAAGGTAGGGTCAACTGGAACTCTAGCATAATGTGAGAGTTCAAATCACGCATAGTGTGAGAGTTTGCTAAATCATACATCCTTCATGAATTGCTGTTGTTTATACCTGTTGCATGTGTCAAAATAATCACATCAGAACTCTAGGTACATAATTTTGACAACAATCATACATACGTAGTCATTATTTTTGTAAAATAAATTGTTTTTTTCATTTTCTCAAAAAGTCTACTGGACCACAGGGCTAGTCACTTTAGATTTTCACCAAATCGGTGCTGGGCGGGTAGTAATTTCAAACACTGCTTTCATAGTCATGAAACATATTTAATGCAATGATTATCTAAGAATAATTTCTAGCAATGAAGAATTTCATTGTTTACCTTCATGCCAAACTGCTTTTACACAAATCAACATAACAGGCATGAAAGTGTTCATTTTCTGATTAATTCTTTTTAGTGAACAAGGTTCTTATTTATACTTAGCTATTTTTATTTATTTGTAATAAATGAATTAATATAATTCAAAAATATTTAATATTCAATGGAATTAGGACTTAAATATCATTTCCTGAAAACTCGCGGGTGAGAAGATGATGCCATACCCTTGTGTCAAGAGACGAGATGTCTTCCATTGAGCATTAAATCTTTTCCTGCTCAAATTAGGCTAATTTTGTTAACATTTTGTGTAATTTTCACTGAAATTCAATTATGGCATGGCATTGCACATGGTTTTTGACAAACAATTGCTTCACAACAGAGCAGACTATTCTATGGATGATGCCTGAAGTTGACTTTGACATTAAATGTGTCAAGTTGGGAGAACTTTCTCTCATATTCAGGAAGTAGATTAAATAAACAATTTGCTAAATTACGATATCCTATTAATCATTCAAGATGAGTTTAAATTCTAATAAAACAGGTCTTCTTCATTTTTCCTCTCAATACTATCGTCATCTTTGAGCAGACGCCAACTCCACTGGTTACCATTATCAGCTGACACAAGAACCAGTTTCAAATCACCGGAACCAAGTTCATCATGGAGGTTGATTAAACGAGTCTTTGAAGTAAGTGTGAATGAACTCAGAGCAGTTTGTTGAAATACCTAAAACATACAAAGGAACATTCATATTCATATGTCTATTTTGTCACTGTTATAACAATTTACCATAGGTTACTACGACAGGGATATTATGCCATATCTCAAATTGTAGGCTGTTGACATAGGCTGAACAAATTATATATTATACTGATTGGGTACTTTTTGTTGTCCTGAATTATTTAGAAAATATTGATTTTAAAAAAATTATGTTCTATGGAATTGTTCAAAAAATATTTTTAAAATATTAGGACAAGTTTCTCAAAATATGACACTGTAACACAAAAAAGAATGCTATTTCATGGTGTCATGGGACAATAGCTTCATAATTTTACATAATAAACCAATAATCATTCTCATGCAATTTATGATTGACTGTCTCAACAATTAAGAGTAGGCTTCTACAATATCTTGGTTGATGTACCTTTTTACTTATTCCTCTGGCCACTTCTCTGTATGTACTTGTTGGCAATAATCGAATAGAACATATTTTACTCGCATCATCTTCACCATAGACATCTACTCGAGTTCCTATGTGAAATGAAAACATTACCCAGCTAAATGTAGATAACGAAGTAAAACAAGTTAAATATTGCCATGGCCATGTGTTTTACTCACTCTATCAGAGAATGGATGTCGTTTTGAGTATTCAGTGTTTGTATTTACAGTTCAATTTAGAATTATTAACACTTTATTTCACAGCTATGTCAAGTTTACAAGGACTTCTATAACTGCTTGTGTAGTGATTGTTGCATCGGTCACATGATTGGTAGACCCAAGTTCAAATCCTACCAAAAAGAGTAAATTCGGTTTTGAACTTGAATTTCTTTATTTCGTAGCTCACATCGACCGGCCAATCTTCGACAGAAGAATATTGCTTTCGAAAACCATTACTTCATCGAAATTGCCTATCATCAAATGTGTACAGCACATTATTAAGCATGGAAATATCCCAAAAATACTTTCGTGTTTGTCGAATCCCATGCGATGTTTGACGCTAACTACAACGCTATGACCTTCGTTAGTCTTGTTTTTACATTCGATTTCACGCATAATGCGTGATTCTCGCAGTGAACGGAAAATGGTCAATTTAGGGGGAACTTGGTTAATGTCTGCAGGTGCTTGTGTTCGGCCGTGCCTGGTCAATACATGCAGAGACAAACTATGGAAACTGTCAATATATCAACACAACTAGATTTTAACCATGAATTCTTGAAATTTTTGTTGACAGTTTTAGGATATATCAAATATTTGTTTAATCCACGTTCCATGCCAGTGTTCTATCAAGAAAAACAGCACTGTGACTAATTTGCATAACAATATATTATGATAATTAGGTACATCTTCTATATTCATTTGTTTGGTAATTGAACACTATTTATACAAGATTAAAGGTTCAAAATGCTATCATGCTCTGTATTATTCTGTTTTGAATGACCCATTGGTTGGGAAGTGTTTTAGAGCATTATACGATACAACATTTTTGATGGAGCAAGCCGGAGAACAAAAATGAAACTACATTGACCATGTTTTGATATCGTGTAACCAGTCAGTGCATTCCAATCAGATCAAGTACTACTTGATTTAAAAGGAATCTCAAGCCTCAGTGGTACACCTCTTTCAACACTATGTGTAATCATGGAAAATTGTTAATAGATCCGAACAATTTCATTTGATTCAAAACTGTATTTCAACACCTCTCGAATGAGTTTAATGAGTGAAAGCAGCACAGTTCCTGTAGCTGCAATCTGAGTTGAAAATCAAATTTTGAAATCTTGAATTTCAGTCAATTTTTTTACCTGGAGTATAACGGTTAGTATCTTCTGGTGATGGCGGAGGCAAGATATCTGATAAGTTTTCCTCACTGGTGGAGATAGTCCCTCTACCTGAACTTGGGGTTCCTGTTAATGTAGTTATTTCCTGCAAAAAATAAAACAAGAGTTGGCAGAGCCATCTTGATGCTGGGAAAATAAGAGCTTGTTTTAATAAAAACTTGAAGTATACATGAGGGTACATGTTATTATTTATTTATTTTGGAAACTCAATTTTTAACTGAAGGAATTAAACTTAATTAAATGTTCACGTTTGTTTATTTTGAACCTTAGAAATGACTACTGTTCAATTTGGGACGTTTAATTGTACTTAGCATATGTTACTATGACAATCAACCAATTCGAGAAAAACATTCGACAATGACTAAATGTATGGCCACAGCCAAATCGCTGTTTAATTGAAATAAAAATAAATAAAAGAAAACAGAGAACTCTAAGATAGAAAGAGAAACACAAGCGATGTAGTCGAACAACAGGCATTACGGTAGCCATGTTTGTTTCAACTCGATCAATACAGTATTACCCATGATGCACTATTCCCATAAGCGTGGGAATGTGGAAGTTCATAGCCAAGCATACTGCGGTCAAGAACAAGGTAAGAAATTATGTGATGAGACCAACCCGAGTTGCCATCGATTTTCAGGTTTGGGTGCGTTTCAGATAATATATATATATATATATATATATATATATATATACAAGAAGATCGATACGCACTACACCGCCGAGTGGAGTAGACATACTTCCGATGGCAATAGGAAGTTCGAAGGAAGCTAATACAGTTGATTTATAACAGACGAAGTAAATGTAAATCACTTTTCAGTCCTCTTTGAGGCACAATCATATTTAAACGTGGCAGATTAACACACTACCGTTACTACAGTTCGACTAAAGTTTACAAACACCACGGTCAGTCACACAAAGTCCCCCAAATTCAAAAGGGATTTTTAAATGCGTTGGGGAACACAAGACAAACAATTGTGCATACTTAGATGACGACTCCACGTTACCATAACTGAAAGAACAGCCCATAGAACACAAAGTCTAAACTATCAGAAATTCGTAACACATAATTCAAGTGATGGTATAACAAAATAACTCATCATTTGTAAATTCAATCCATCCAAAAAGTATAAAAAAACATTTTCATAAAAATTTTTTATTATATTAATACACTTTGAAATGAAACATGATTCATAAACATAAATCTATTTGAATACATTCTCACTAAAAATTACACAATACTTATTTTTTTCAATGGAGTCTCTTCACAGCACAAACTCTTGGAATCATGTACATGAGTACTTCGGTGACACATTTTATAGCTACGCCCAAAATAGTCTATTATTTATGGTGCAACTGTGACCAAACAACATCCACACATTTCGGTAAAATCTCCATGCACTTTTTGACCATTCATAAGTAAAATACACTACAATTTACTCCAGAAAAACAATTTTCTTGGTACATTCCAACATTCCAAGCGGAACACTTTTATTGGACTAATAACAAAGCTGGTCAATCCTTTTCCAGCAATTATACAGTAATATTTTTCCTGTACATAATCTTGCAAATTTTCTGTCCTTTTTCTGCTTTAGGGAGGTTTGGCAAGATTACATGTCAAGTTCGTCATAATTATGGGTTCAGTAGTGCAAAATTTGAATTTGGTGTAAACTGCCAACATTTTTATGGTATATTGACTGTATTTGAAGAGTTATTTTTGGGTAAAAACTATCAAATATTCAAGGTACTATTATATTGAAGGTAAGATACGTTGGCAATGGTAGTGAAGGGGCATCAATGTGAATGTCAATAGGCAGCTATGAGAAGTGAGATGGCAAGTATCAGCAAGAAATGCATCAAGACATTTTCATTTTGTTTCTTTCTTGAAACACTATGTCAGTTCAAACTGTTTCAGAGACACTGCTGCATATTGGCAATACTGGTGAATTTGTTTTCTGTGTAAATACAAGTGATTCACTTCCCAACAAGACAGGATTTCACAGACACACATTGCACAGCACAACTTACCTCAGTGGTATTGAACTGCTCCCATAATGCCAGCTGCTCTTCTGGGCTTGTTTTGTACATGACATCATTTAATAAATCTGGAGAGTACAAGCATTTATTTAGTGAATTAGAGATGGGTACCAGCACATGAAGTAATAGCCACAACAAACACTAATTATAATGCACACTTGCAATAAAAAGTCTATTTGATTAGTCTTCCTGTTCCAATAAATTTATGTGATTCAAACTAAAATGTGAAATACGTTTAAATAACTATCTAATAGAAAAAAATTAAGTATTATTTAAATCATTAAATGTATCACTTTATTTACAAAGTGACATAGCTTACCTGCTTGCAAGCTGTCAAACTCTGCCTGTATTTGTTCTTCACTTGATGCAGAGGTGGCAGACACCATGGAACTAGTTCTTGGATATTCTGATGAATAATTGCTGGCTCCTTCCAGATTGAGATCTGGACTACTGTAATGATGTTGTAATGCCGGTTTCTTCTCAAGTGGGTTGGAGGAGATGCTTCTCTTAGCAAGAGGTTTTTTGCGTGGGGTGTAGTTCACAGAGAAGCTGGGTGCTAGTTTCCTGTGTGTTGGTTTCAGTTGGATGACATTACTTGCACCACCATTGTATGTAGTATTAGTCGCATGCATGCCGCTACAATCATCTGAATTGATCACATCATTCGGTGTCTGTCTCATAGACCCTGGTTGTTCCCCTTCAACAGCTGCTTTCGCTTGATGCTGAATACTGCCAGTGATTAAAGAAGCTAGTTCATTGGTGACATGATCAGAGTTAACTGGTGGTCTGGCAACTGATTGCAATACTGGAAGGGGAAAACCAGCTTCTTCATCTGGACCTCTCAGTTCAGCTCCAGCATTGCAATTATCAGTTCCTTCAGTGTGCATCTTCGCTTGTAGCTGTGGTTGGAATTCTGCCTTGATCATTGACTTGGATGCCGGTTGGTTTCCTTTACTACTTTCATGTGTACTGTGTACCAGTGCAGAAGCATAATCATTGTTCCGATTGAGTGTTTCTATTGGTTCAATATGTTGGGATTCTCTTGGTTGAGAAGATTCTCCACTCTCAAACAGAACTTGAACATCATTTTCTGGAGGCACAGCAGGAAGGGGCTTCTCTGCACCATTGTCAAATGACTTGTGTTCACCTGAATTAAGGTCATCATCACTATCTGAAGAGTTCATAACTGCTCCTTCATCACTGTCTAAAATGGATGGCTTACTCTCTGAACCAGGGTGCTTTGCATTGATGGACTCCATAGAAACAGCAGATCCAGTAGAGGAGGTGAGCGATGATGGAAGCGCAGGATCCTGGGAAAGGACTAAAGATGAAGATGGAGTTAGTGTGCCCTCAGTGCTACCTCTAGACACAGCTAATATGTTTACGAATGGTGGCTGGATCGCATCGTCGTCTTTGACAGGTCCAGCAGAGTAGATATCATCCTCCTCCTCCTCCTCCTTCTCCTTCTGAATTAAAATTTGTGGGTCATTTACAGGTGCTGGTGGAATTGATAGAACGTTGTCATCAATCTTTTCGGTAACACTCTCGTCATAGTCCTGCTCATCATCAATAGTTTGATCCAGGTTCTGCAGCATATCTTGTTCATAAAACACTATAATCAAATGAAACGAAAAATACATAAGTGCTCATTAATACACTGAGAACTGCTGTAAAAAAAAAAAACTTTTAAAAAGTTTAAACTGATTATCCAAAAACGTTCCTGTTAGTTATTGAATTTAAGATATATAGTTTTGTTTATAGTAATATAGCTGGAATATATGTCAGGAATATGATTATGATGATTGTTTAACATTTCAATGATTGACATTTGTATCTGATCGTCAAACGAGTACTGAGAGATATTGCTCTGGAACAGCATTAAGTAAAACAAAATCCGCCATTTTATTTTGAATAAATGTATAATGAATATGTCAAATTTGAACATAGTCAAAGCATGTCAGAGATATGGCTCTAGAAGCCCATTCATTAAAACAAAATGGCCACTAGTCAGCCCTTCTGAATCCGATCTAAAAAATAAAATAACCAGCATCAGGAACCCGTAATGTCTAATGTATGTACCAAGTTTGAACAAAATCCATCCATAACTGCCAGAAATGCTAGATATTTAATGATTTTTCAGCACAAATATGGCTACCATTCGGCCACCAATGTATCTGTATATCTATGACATGATGTATAATGAATATTTAAAATTTGAACATAATCAGTCACAGTAAGTCAGAGATATGGCACTAGAACCACATTTATTAAAACAAAATGGTTGCCAGTTGGCCATTTTGAATCTTATCTGAAAACAAAATGATGTGCATCAAGGTCCTATAATGTCCAACATATATACCAAGTTTGAACAAAATCCATCTGTAAACAGCCGAGAAATGTTTGATTTTGATGATTTTTAGAACAAAAATGGCCACCATTTGGCCATCTTGAATCAGATCATGAAACAAATTGACGTGCATATGTATAATATCATGTATGATGTGTGTGTGAAGTTTGATTGTAATTGTTCAAGGCATTTCTAAGATACAGGTCCGGACGCACGCACAGGCGCACAGAAGTAAAAACATAAGTTCCCGCTTTCGAACTGTGTTCGAACGGGGACTACAAATTTTAAACAGCAATCATAAATACTGTGCTTTGAGATAAGCCTTGTACATGAGAACTATAATCAAGCTACATAATATTCACAACACATTTCTTGGAAATTTGATGAAACACTAAGTTGATTTTTAAGATTGTAGAAAGATTAAACACATACCCCTGTTGAATGCCCAATGATAGTAGCACTGCATTGCGGTTGGCCTGTTTGCAGGATTCCTGTTTAAGCACCAAGTTACAAGTTTACGAAGAGGTTCACAACACTCCTGTGGAATCTCATTAAGAGGTGGCTCATTGTTACCGATCTGTTACGAAAGTGATAATATTACAGTCACTTAAAGTCATTTAAAGCACTTTTTATTCAGTAGAAAACAAAACTGATACGAGTCAGTCATTTTGAATTGGAATGTAAATCAAATGCCTGTGTGACATGATGTATAATGTAGTTGTAAAGTTTGATTGTAACCAATCAAGTCAGGTCAGGTCAGGTCAGGTCAGGTCAGGTCAAAGATATGCATTCGTTAATACAAAATTGTTGACAGTTTGCTAAGTTGAATATGATCTTAAAAACAAAATGGTCAATTTTAATGAATTTTCAACATTAATCTTGATCTGATCGTTAAACAAATATATGTGCACATGTTTTCATACATGCATAATGTATGTCAATCCATAAGACTAATAATGAAAGTCTAAGTTTTGCATCCTTGTGCATGCAGCTTTTAAAAAATATGTCTGGATGCAAGCAAGGTAACTAATCTCACCATGCATATTATTAACCTTAGACATGACCATAGCAGCCACAGGGACCTGCCGATTCTGATTCGACCAGATATATACAAAAAATATTCACTGACAAATATTTTATACCAGTGTGTATCATTATGCCCTCTCTGATATGGTATATGGATATACCACCCTATCAGCCCCAGTAAACACTCCATTACTGAGAATGGAATGTGAGTATTTGCAATCAGACACTTGACTTACAGCGTAATAGATTTGCTCAGCTCTAGTCAATTTCAATGATGACCAGGGAGGTTGTCCACTCAACATGTGAAGTATCAAGCAACCAAACGCCCATATATCTACTTTCAGACTGTGAATATTACTTAGGGCAATCTCTGGAGCCATGTACACAGGGGTTCCTTGTGGATTTTCATTTTTCGGGAAGTGGGCGTGTCCTTTTTGGAGCTGGCGAGAGAAGCCAAAGTCTACAAGGTATAAATATCCTTGCTCATCCACCATTATGTTAGAAGCTACGGAATAAAATAATGAAATTTATTATTAAACAATTATGATATATTAATAAATACTGAAGGTACCTTGCATTAAAACAAGAAGAGATAAGACAACACTGGATTACCTTTCAAATCACCATGTCTGATCCTCTTGTTGTGTAAATACAGAAGAATTTCACTTATCTGATAAGCAAAGTCCAGTATGTCATGTTCTTGTAGTATATATGTTGGTTTCAGCTCAAGTATAGAACGTACACTCATACCTGTAAAGCAATTAAAACAGCGATGAAAATCATCACAGTATTCAGGATATACGCAGCTAATATGAAGATTAATGGTAGTATAAAAAAACAAGATGCATCTACGTAGGAAGGTAAAAGTAGTTTTCTTTAGAGTAGAGTTTTCGATCATTGCTTTACCAATGGTGGTTGTTAGGGGAAAAAATGCTTAGATGATTGGTTCAGAGAATGGGATGGATACCTGTCTATCCTAACTGGTAACACCCTGGATCATATTGAAATAGAAACCACTAATTTCCTTTTTTCAATTTACTGAGAGAAATAGCAATTCAGAACAAGACAAGAGTTTGTCAAAAAGTGCTTCAAAAGTGACCCTAAACAAAATGAACCATTTTTGGTCAATCTGAAAAATAGATACAAGCACATTTTTTGCTGTCATTTTAAAATAATTGGGTAATTGGGCTTTGATTTTGAAAATTCTGGCATAAGCCTGAAAAGAAAACGTTGAAGCAGACACTTATAACTAATGCACCTGATAAACAGAAAACTTGATATTACTTTTTCCTTGGCCTAAAACAGTATAATCTGTAGGTGTAACATTAATTAACATGACTACTATGACATACAGAGACCCCTACATTGTGTACTAAAAATCAAGACAATTCTCACCTCGGATATATTTCATAAAATAATAAATGGCTGTTCCAATGCGTAGAATACCATACAGTTCGGGAATACCAGAGTGAGATAGCTGACACCAGATATTGACTTCTTCAGCATTGTTGGTGAAATCCCTCAAATCACACTGAAATCAGATTTCATAAATTACTCCATGTAGTCTCCTAGTTAATTTTTTAGCCCAGGTTTCAGCCTTTCAATCACCACATTATTTATTCACATTCAAGAGCCAATACATTGCAGCAAAATAATCGAAATCAGTGATCGCCCAAAGACAATTTCCGAGAGTTGTGAATAATATACAAATAAAGGAAATTTGATTTGAATACTTTTTCATGTTCACTTATTGTTTCAGACAGAAATCCAGGCAAAGTTGGCTGCTACAGCTGAGAAGCTCTGAAGTAAACACTGTTTGGATGTACTACCGGTAGTTGTGTTTTTTTTGGGAGGGGGGGGGGAAATAATAATAACTGCATAAATAAATAAAAAAAAAAAAAATAAATAAATACCAAAACAATCACTTCCCCCTATTAAATCTAGTTTATGGACTGTTGGCACCATAAATTTACATACCTTTTTAACAGCACAGATAAACTGTGTACTCATATCACACATCAAGTGACAATCACCAAATTTCCCACTTCCAATACGTGCCTCTATTCGCCAGTGACGTCCTGGGGTGTAGCGACCATCCTTACACTCAAGACCCTACAGTAAAAACAACAATTTAGTTTTTACACATAAAATACAATCAGGGTTCTCCCCAGGGCTTTTTAGCGCCGAGGTCCGCGGCGCTATACCTGTGAATCTCGGCGCTTCACTTGGGACCTCGGCGCTATGTGTTCCCACCTCGGCGCTTGATTTCATATTTGACATGCCAATATCAGATGTGAAAAAGCTTTGTTCGCCACGCCGGTCGGCCCCGACCGTCACTCAAAATTAGTGACCACCACGGAAATGCTTCCGACGAGGACTATTGTCTGATTGTTGGTATAAT